CCCCAAAACCCCAAAACCCCAAAACCCCAAAACCCCTTTAGTCAGGTATTCTCAAAGTTAAATATTAATAGCCAAATATGAGTCTTAATCAAGGTGAAAAATCACAACATAAGTCCATTAAAGAAGGACCATCTGGTGTAAGTATAACTTCTCCATTCAAACCCACCCGATGGGTTCTTTAAGCTGCTAAGAGAGGAGCCTCCTATTGATCCACTTAACCACATCCAAGGATAATCTTTTCAAACCTTATCGTTCCAGAAATGACTTTTCTAATTTAGTGCAAATTCAAATTAGTTCGTGGCACAGATATCAGAAGGCTTAAGAACCCTGTCAATGATATGAACCAGCTCAAGCAGAGTGTTGAGAAATCGTATGGAGCTAGTCTCAGTTCTGAAAGACTCAAATACTACTACTATGACTCTGACGATGACCGTATTGACATCTCAGATGATGAAGAACTTGAAGAAGCTATGAACCATTGCAAGTCTAAATGTCTGAAGATATACGTCCAGAACTACGACATCTCCAAAGACCCGTTCTTCCAATCTCTTGAGCCTTCTAAGAGCGATGGGAACACAGGCCCAAGTACAGAGAATCGGAAAGGTGATCGCAAGATGTCAGACTTTGCCTTTTCGGCAAAAAGTTGCGAGTTCGAGAGCTTAAGCTCATCCGCTGCCAACAGAAAACACTCAAACTTTGAAGAGTATAAGCGAGCATTTGATTCTATCCAAAATACCATTTCTTGCGAAGAAGACTCCGAAGAAGAATCAGATTCCTTTGCTAGACTTGAAACATCAGAATGAAAGGAAACGGGCACCCAAGAGGTCAAATCTGATGACTTGACTATCAAAAATACACAAGATTTATCTACCAGCTATCAGTCAAACAAAGTACCACAAAGGAAGAACACTGAAACTGAGGAACATCACGCTAAACTAGAAGAAGATAAGAAGGATTTCCGCTCAAATTCTTTGCCAAGGAGGTACGCTTGATCACCATTATGTCTTACTCATTATAGCTCTCATCCCACAAAGCTAGACGCCTTCGAGCTTGCCGACTGAACGGTCCCTCGGATCAGCAAGGAGCTGCAACAGCACCTCCAATCTGAAGAGTTCAGGCAGCTCAAGAACGATTGGCAGTTCCAGGTGAAGGCTGAAAAATGATTTGATAAAGAAGACAACCGAAGAAGATACACTGGCCTTGATAAAGTTTATTCCAAGATCAGAGTTGCCTCCGGAAACCAAGAAGAAAGAGCCAAACTAGCTATTGTCGAAGAATCTGATACAAAATTTAGCAACGATGATGTGATCCTTTGCAAAAAGGGATCCCTTATTTCTAAATCATGGATCGTCAAAAATGTCGGATGAACCCTTTGGCCCAAGAATGTGAGACTCAAGGCCCAAGATAAATACAAAAATCTTGTGGTACCAATGATACTCGATCGTCTCAACCCTGGCGACAAGATGATACTTACTGTAAACTACCAGATCCCTGAGTATTTCGAAGAGGAGAATGATGTTCATTATATCACACTCAATCTGTACAGCAAAGGGTTTGGTGATTTCGGTATGAAACTCATCCTCTCCTTCAACGTTGATGATGACCTCTTCGATCTTAAGTGTAAAGTAGAGGGCAAGCAGAAGTACATCGAGAGGGTAAAAATGACTAATTTATAAGCAATAATTTCATCAATCCTTTCATTTACCCATGCTTCATGAGCCTTATTCAAAGTTATCATGGTTCTTACTTGAACCCATTTACTTTTAAATTCAGACCAATCACAATAAAATTGTTTTGAAAAGGGGTTTTGGGGTTTTGGGGTTTTGGGGTTTTGGGG